TCAGAGAATAGCAGCTTCTCTTTCTGTCCCACTTTCAAAATTTTTGCAATGGTTTCCCATCGGTAGACTCCAGGCCAAACTATATGGAGAAGGGAAATTTTGGGAAATGCAACTCCAGGCTTATCCTGTGTGGTACAGAGATAATGTAATCATACAAGTGAAAAAATAATAACAGAATATCAGTTAACCAGGAATATTGGGAAAATAAACAAATATAAATTCTAGATTAGAATATACACAATGTTAGGGCTTGCCTGGTGATCCAGTGGTTAAGAATCTGCCTTGCAATTCAGGGGACACTGGTTCAATCCCTGGTCCAGGAAGATCCCACATGCTATGGGGCAGCTATGCCTGTGCATCATGACTGCTGAGCTTGTATCCTAGAACCTTGGAGCCACTGAAGTTCATGCACATAGAGCCTGTACTCCACAACAAGAGAAGCCACCCTAATGAGAATCCTGAGCATTGCAACTAGAGAGTAGCCACCCCCGCTCACTGGAACTAGGGAAAGGTTGTACAGCAACAAAGACCCAGCACAGCCAAAAACAGAAAATAAATAAATTTAAAAACAAAAGAGTATACACAATGTTGAACTCAATGATGGATTCAATCAGAGATTAGATTTCAGTTCAGTTCAGTCACTCAATCATGTTTGACTCTTTGAGACCCCATTGACTGCAGCACGCCAGGCTTCCCTCTCCATCGCTGACTCCCAGAGTTTACTCAAACTCATGTCCACTGAGTCAGTGATGCCATGCAACCCTCTCATCCTCTGTCATCCCCTTCTCCTCTCACCTTCAATCTTCCCAGCATCAGAGTCTTTCCAGTGAGTCAGTTCTTTGCATCAGATGGCCAAAGTGTTGGAGTTTCAGCTTCAGCATCACTCCTTCCAATGAATATTCAGGACTGATTTCCTTTAGAATGGACTGGCTGGATCTCCTTGCAGTCCAAGGGACTCTCAAGAGTCTTCTCCAACAGCACAGTTCAAAAGCATCAATTCTTCAGCTCTCAGCTTTCTTTATAGTTCAACTCTCACATCCATACGTGACTACTGGAAAAGCCATAGCTTTAACTAGATGGACTTTTGTTGGCGAAGTAATGTCTCCGCTTTTTAATATGTTGTCTAGGTTGGTCATAACTTTTCTTCCAAGGAGCAAGCGTCTTTTAATTTCATGGCTGAAGTCACCATCTGCAGTGATTTTGGAGTCCCCCAGAATAAGGTCTGTCACTGTTTCCAGTGTTTCCCCATCTATTTCCCATGAAGTGATGGGACCAGATGCCATGATCTTAGTTTTCTGAATGTTGAGTTGTAAGCCAACTTTTTCACTCTTCTCTTTCACTTTCAACAAGAGGTGGTTTAATTCTTCTTTGCTTTCTGCCATAAGTGTGGTGTCATCTGCATATCTGAGATTATTTTTTCTCCCAGCAATCTTGATTGCAGCTTGTGCTTCATCCAGCCCAGCATGTCTCATGATATACTTTGCATATAAGTTAAATAAGCAGGGTTACAGTGGAACCAGTCTGTTGTTCCATGTCCAGTTCTAACTATTGCTTCCTGACCTGCATACAGATTTATCAGGAGGCAGGTCAGGTGGTCTGGTATTCCCATCTCTTTAAGAATTTTCCACAGTTTGTTGTGGCCCACACAGTCAGAGGGTTTGGCATAGTCAGTAAAGCAAAAGTAGATATTTTTCTTGAACTCTTGCTTTTTTGATGATCCCATGGATGTTGGCAATTTGATCTCTGACTTTGCTGCCTTTTCTAAATCCACCTTGAACATCTGGAAGTTCATGGTTCACGTAGTGTTCAAACCTGGTTTGGAGAATTTTGAGCATTACTTTAGTAGCGTGTGAGATGAGTGCAATTGTGCAGTTGTTTGAGCATTCTTTGACATTGCCTTTCTTTGGGATTGGAATGAAAACTGACCTTTTCCAGTCCTGTGGCCACTGCTGAGTTTTCCAAATTTGCTGGCATATCAAGTGCAGCACTTTCACAGCATCCTCTTTTAGGATTTGAAATAGCTCAACTGGAAGTTCATCACCTCCACTAGTTTTATTCATAGTGATGCTTCCTAAGGCCCACTTGAATTCACATTCCAGGATGTCTGGTTCTAGGTTGGTGATCACACCTTTGTGATTATCTGGGTCGTGAAGATCTTTTTTGTATAGTTGTTCTGTGTATCCTTGCCACCTCTTCTTAATATCTTCTGCTTCTGTTAGGTCCATACCATTTCTGTCCTTTATTGAGCCCATCTTTGCATGAAATGTTCCCTTGGTATCTCTAATTTTCTTGAAGAGATCTCTAGACTTTCTTATTCTATAGCTGAGAGAATTATGAAGAGGGAATTAAGAAACTGGATTATATATCTAAAGTAATTACTCAGAATACAGCACAGAAAGATGAAGTGATAGAAAATATGAATGAGAAGTTAAATTACATTGAGGATAGAGTGAGAGAATTTCAGTAGAATTCAGATAACATACTAAAACTGTGTAATTGAGGAAAATTTTTTAAAGGGGCCAATTTTTAACACATGCATGTGAAAAAGTCACTTAGTTGTGTCTGACCCATTGTGACCCCATGGACTATAGCCCACCAGGCTGCTCTGTCCATGGGATTCTCCAGGCAACAATACTGGAGTGGATTGCCATTCCCTTCTCCAGAGGGTCTTCCTGACCCATGGATCAAACCTGGGTCTTCTTCATAAAGTATGGATGTAGTTCAGTCAATAAATTAGGAAGAGGGGGTGGATTAAGTTTACTGGAGAACAGTGACAGAACTTTGAGTTTCAGTTGTATTTGCCTGTGAATTGTGATTCTGTGGAAGACAGAGAAAGAGTAAGAAAAACAAAGCACAGAATGAATGAGGGCATAATAATCTGGAACGGTGGCTTCATTCTAGTGCATGAAGATGTTGTAGATAGAGGGCATAATTGAATTGGTTAACTGGTTTTGATTCTGAGGCCTTAGAGCAGGCTATACTCCAAGTAATGTCACAGACCTGATGAAGTCAACATACTGCATGCTTGTTCAGTGTTCGAATGGCATGTTTCTGAGCAGCAGACCCAGTGTCTTGAAGATCAAGGTAGGAGTACTAAATAGTGAGTGTTCCAATGTCTCCCACCCCATGATTCACACGGGCATTGCATTTTATGCAGTCAAAGTTTCACATGGAATCACAGAAGAAATATGGAGTGTTTGGAAGCAGTGGCCTTTGCAAAGTTGGTCCCCTGTGTTTCAGAGGATTAGCTAGATTCCTATTGTTGTCCCTGTTGGAGATGCCTGGGGGTATCCTGAGAGTTTGAATAATAGAAGAGGTGAGGGTTGGATAAGAAGCTTTTTCTGATAGAAACTTATTGGATAGACTAAAGAGGCCATCTAACATAAACTTTCCATTTTTTGCTATAAGTTGCCCTGAACTGAAAGAGGAAAGTTGAGTCTAGTGTATTCTCTGACTTCAAACGAAGAAACCCTGAAGGAACAATTCTGAGGATAAAGGTAGCTTGATAGCTGTTTGGCTTTGGTTTATCCTTCTGTGACTTCCCTGTAGCTCAAATGGTACAGAATCTGCCTGCAATGCAGGAGACCAGCGTTCAGTTCCTGGGTTGGGAAGATCCTTGGGAGAAGGGAATGGCAATCCGTTCTGTATCCTTCTGTATCCCATGTACAAACTGAATTTGGAAAAAATAACTCTTATCTCAAGCAATGTGTTTACTATGGCAAGAAGAGTTATAAAATACAAATTCTTAATGCTGGAATTGGTATGAAGTATATCTCTTGGAAGTGGGGTCTTTATTCAATGCACAACATGAACAGCTATTCATGGAGGCTTAGTCTTTCCACTCATTCTCAGTAGATTTGGAAAGTTGAATAACTTACCTCTGAGGACAAAACAAGGCAACTGAAATTGGCTGCAGGGTTTTAATAATACCACCCAATCCCCACCTTTACTCCTGGGCTTTCTTTTTACACTAGCCTCTTCTCCCCTCAAAAATGTTTTAAGCATACAATTATATAACAAAGGATTTGCCCTAACTTCTTGTATTGAGGAATGATTCTAATATAATCTGTTTAAGTCTGAGGATTGTTGTCACTTTTCTGGCTTCACTCTTTCCCATTCAGTGAAAACTAACAGTTTTAATACTTTTTGACAAGTAGAACTGAATTTTCACAAATCACAGTTCTGACTCATAAACGGATCCTGTTTGCTGCCTCGCATTAACCAAGTTTTTCCTTTTCTACACTAGGGCTCTGTCATGTCTGTCTTCTGTTTTCCATGATATCCCAAAAGGCAGCTCTAACATGGTGTGCTAAAAATGAGCCCTAATCTTGGTCATTGCCAGTGTCTGTTTTTTTATGACACTATCTTTTTAGTGTCTTCCCTGTCCTTGCTCACCGTTGCATAAGTTGCTGGAACCAGCGTGTTGCCATTTTGTACCAGTGCAGATCTTTGAGTACTTTACAGTTTTTATTATAGCTGTTTCCCTTAGGATTCAAGTTAGTCCTAGGTGCTTTGATCAAGAAAAATCTGTGTGCAGGACCAAGTGGTATCCAAGTCATCTCTTTTCTCCTACTTGGCCTGCTTTTCTCTGACTCTAACTAGTGTACTTTAACTCTTTCCTGAGAATGAATTCTTCTCTTGGAGACTTTTTGTCATTTTCTGAAAATAGATATCTGGTATCCCATCCCAGTTCAACTGTCTACTCACTTCAAGCATTTGCCTGTGATACAGCAAAGGAAAAAAAGAAAACAACAACAACAACAACAACAACAAAAAGATTTTTAAGAACAAAATTAGGAATCAAATTAAGGTAGAAAATATGTACTGTGCTATGCGTAGTCGCTCAGTTGTCAGACTTTGTGACCCCATGGTCTTTTGCGCTGCAGGCAAATTGTTTACTGTCTGAGCCAAGAGAAGCCCAAGAATACTGGAGTGGGTAGCCTATCCCTTCTCCAGGGTATCTTTCTTATCTAGGAATTGAATTGGAGGTGGCTTAGATGCTAAAGTATCTGCCTGCAATGCAGGAGACCCAGGTTCAATCCCTGAGTTGGGAAGATTCCCCTGGAGAAGGGAATGGCAACCCACTCCAGTATTCTTGCCTGGAGAATCCCATGGACAGAGGAGCCTGTTGGGTTACAGTTCACGGGATCACAAAGAATTGAACACTGCTTGGTGAATAACACTTTCATTCTTGCATTGCAGGTGGATTCTTTACCAATTGAACTACCAGGGAAGCCCAAACAGTATATATGTATATTTATTTTAAGGTGGAGGAAAGAGCTGGCAAAAGACGAAAGTCCTAAAAATCCTAAGCTTAATTCGGAATAATTTCTCTTGCATGTGTGCATGTTTAGTCACTCAGTTGTGTCCAACTCTTTGCGACCCTATGGACCATAGCCCACCAGGCTCCTCTGTCCATGGAATTCTCCAGGCAAGAATACTGGAGTGGATTGCAATATCTTTCTCCAGGAGATCTTCCCCACCCAAGGATTGAACATGCGTCTCCGGCATTGGTAGGCAGATTCTTTACCATTGAGCCACCTGGGAAGTCCCATTTCTCCTGTCCCCAACTTATAATTTAATAGCCTATACTTTAACAAATAGAAAGGTGGAGGAAGTGGCTTACCTTGGCCCCATTTTCCTAGTTAACAAAACTCTACTTGCCTCCCAGTTAGTTTCCCCTCTGCCTTCTACTCCTCCTCCCACCCCTCCTACTTGTTCTGCTTTAGTTACACTGGTCTATTTTCTGTTTCTCAGATACCGAGTGTGCTATTTCCCTCAAGGCCTTTGAACTTCCTCCTTTATTTCCTTCAGGTCCCCGTGGAGATATCACCCTCTCGGATATTTCCCCCAACCACACTGTCTAAAGTAGTTCTTACTTTCCTGCCTCTTCCTCTGTATAGTGAATATGTGTCATTTGTGATTTCTCCAACTATTTTGAACATCTTCTCCTCATGTTAATTGTTTCTCATATTGTGAATACAATATAGATGCCAGTTTTTCTAATATACAATTTTAAAAAATATCTAGATTTTCTGGCCTCTCTTGATAGTGGAGTGTAGATACCACCAAAACCGATGGAAAGCTTTGATTTGGAAGCCAGCTCTGTGACACAGGCCAAATATAGGCATTCATGATATTAATGCAAGTGTTAGTAGAAGCAATGAGTTCCTAGGTTAACAGGTGCAAAAGAAGCTTTCCTGACTATGGCAAAGTTAGCATGATACAAATGTCAGAGGCAGCAGCAGCAGCCTCTTCAGAGGTCAGTTTTCTAGTAGAGTTCTAGGGGTTATAGTATGAGCTTTCCATTAGCCCTCAATAAATTCCTTTGCTGAGACAACTGCAGACTCTGTTATCTGCATTTAATGCTTTGACTGATAGCATGCATTTATTTTTCCTTTTGATGTCCTATATATTATTTACCCGACAGTGTGCTTATCATCTCTAGAATGTACCTCCAGTGTCTAGAACACTACTTGGTCCATAGTAGGTGCTCAGTAAATATGTGATGACTACAAAAATGACAGTCTCATTGGTCTCTGGATATTTTAGCCATTGGTATTAGTTATCACTTGTTGCATACTTATCCCAAATATCAGTGGCTTAAGACGGCAGATGGTTTTCATCTTGTATAGTTATGATGGGTAAGGAATCAGAGTATGGTTTAGCTGAGTGGTTCTGGCTCAGAGCTTCTCATGAGGCTGCTGTCAAGATATTGGCAGGAGCTGCAGTTTTCTGAAGGCTTGACTGAGGCTCAGGAATCTGCTTCCAAGATGGCTCACTCACACAGCTGTTGGCAGGAGCTTTTAGTTTTTTGCCCTGTGAACCAATGCATAGTTTCCTTGAGTGTCCTGATGACATGATTGCTGGCTTTTACCCTGAGAAAACAGAGGGAAGGAGAGAGAGAGAAACACACCATAATGCCTTTTATGACTTAGTCTCAGAAATCTAATATAGCCACTTTCATCACAGTCTTATTCATTAGAATCACTAAGCACTGCCCACACTCAAGGGAACGGGAATTAAACTCCACTTTTGAAAGACAGGAGTGTCACATAATTTTTGGACGTATTTTAAAACCACCGCCTTACTACAACATGGATTTTAAAAAATCTCTAGATTTTTTAAATAGATCCTATTTCGTATCTCTTTCTTATACTGCGCTCAAACATCTCTTCATCTCTTTTTCTTAGTAATTATACCCCAGTAGTATTTGGAGAAGCAGTATGCTCTTATAGGTTGCTGATTCAGCAGAAGATATCCCCCTTTTTCCTTTCTACTCTTTGGAATGTGAATGTGATGGTAGGCTCTCCAGTAGACACCCTGAACCATGAACAATCTTGAGAATGAAATAGAGAAAGCATGAAAATGGAAGGGACGATGGCTGTGGAATCAGCAAGCAGCCCTGGACAGCAAGCAACCCTCTTCTCTTTTGCTTAAACCAATATTACTATGGGTTTTCTTTTTTTTAATAGTCAAACTAATTCTGATACCTGTATCCCTGGGGGAGTGATTAAACTTGTCTTTTTACCTTCTGTCTTGGGAAATAGTCTGTCATACTCCATTGTAACTCACTGGCAGAGCTTGAACTAAAAGTCTTCAATCCCAGTCGAGGTCTGCTTCTACCTCATCATGTAAATTCTGTGGATGCAGAGCAAGTTCTTTTCTAGCCAACTTGGAAAAGCCAGGATTTATTGACATAGTCTTCCAGTTCTATAGATGTTAGGGACTTTGTATCATAACAACCTTGAGAGAGTCCCATGAATGCTTTGCTAATTTTGGTTTTAATTTAGATGAATATCTCTCAGCAGGAGAGCTATCTCTAGTTTTATTTTTACTTGTTGGCTATCCAGAGAATTGTCCTTGACAATCAAATTTATCTCTTAGAGTCCTCTCCAGACCCTAGAAAACTCCCTATAATGACAATAGTATATTGTCTAAAAGTTTATTTCTTATATGCCAGATGGATACATTACTGTCATTCTTCCTAACCCTTGTGGCCATCTGGAATAATGGTTCCATCTGAAACTTATTATCTCCATTTTAAAAAGAGAAAATCAAGCCCTGGAACCTTGATACCTTACATTAATTCTATCTAACCCTTGTAGCCATCTGGAACAGTAACACTATTATTATCTCTATTTTAAAAAAGAGGAAATCAAGTCCTGGAACCTTACCCAGGGTCATAGAGTTCCAAAGTGCTGAACCTGGATCTAAATCAGGCTCAGAATGACCCCAGAGCCATGTTCTTTCCACTTTGCCTGCTCTTATCTCCACTGAAATCTTGGTGGACACATTTAGTTACAGTAGAAAGTATAAGTATGGAATGAAAATGACAGTGTGATTGTCAAATTGGCTGACTTCAGCATGGACAGTCTTGGGGATCCGTCTATCTATAATATCTTTTTCTTAATAGAATTTGTTAAACCAGATCAGCAAATCCTAATTTGGGCCACTGGCCAGGATATGGGAATCACATCATGAAATGGAATCTTATGTTAAGACTGTGTTTATTAAAATAGGATTTTCCCCAGAGGGCTGTGTTTTCAGTGAAAGCACTCAATGGCAAACACTTGGACTTTGCCGCCTCTTGGCTCACCTTGTCATTGGGTCCTTTCAGATGGGCAGCAGCATCACTGGAAATCACAGAGGTTCACGGTACATGAAAGGCTGCAAGGAGCTGGAGAGAAGAGGATGGAAGGAAAGAAAGATGGCAGGAATAGTCACATGTATTTCCACCTAGCACAATACATTTTCTCATTAGATTAATATTTTATTTAACCTTTCACGAACCTTGATGTACTAGATTTTATTAATCGCATTCTAGCTGTATGAAGTACCATTCACAGCTCCAGGGATTAGGACATGGGTGTCTTTGGGGAGCCCTGTTCAGCCCTGCTCAGGTTTGTCTTTTTTAAAAAATAAATAATATTTCTTTTAGTTTGACTATGAAACTGTGCTTACTTCTTTACTCTCTAGTTTACCTTCCTAATTCTGTTGTGAAATAGATTCAAATAAAAGCTTTGAACAGGAGTGAGTTGCAAAGATGGAACAAAAGACCTGGATTGTTGAAATTAGAAAAAACAAGCTACATGTGCTCTCGAGAAAGTTATGATTTAGAATCCATAGACATCCTCAAAGCCCTTACATTAGACTTCCCTCAGGAAAGGTTCATCAAATATGTTAATTAAGAACAAAGATGATTGATTGAATATCATATTTTTATTTGCTTGCCTTCTATTTAGGGGTGTTTAAAATATATGACTCAAGTGGGGAAGGAGGTAGAGGTGAACCTGAATCCTTAGGCTGTTTAATCAGTTTCTAGATGACTGAGAGCTGACTGGAAATCCAATGCATCTATGTAGGAAAACTCTCTGCTTCTGTGGGTTCTATTTCCTCATCCCAAAGTAGTCACCATGTCCTCACTTATTCAGATCTCAAGCCCATCATGCAAACTCTGTGGTGTCAGCAGCTTATTCTCTCAGCTTTAGCCACCTCCTGTGACTTCGAAAGCCATGCCTCAGTCAGGCTGAATTGTATAGTAACAAGGGAGCGTGAGCTTTGTGGTTAGATAAACCCACATTTGAATCCTAAATTCACCAATTAGCATGCGGTATCCTTGATCTTATAGGCTTTAACCCTCCACCTGTAGAATGTGGATAGCACTATGTGTTGCACATAAAGGTTGGCTGTATTGAATGTGAGCAGATTAAATTGTTATTGGTCATCCTCCTTTACATCCCTCGGCAGCCATTGGCCTCATGACCTGCATCTATTAGAGTGATGGGTAGAATAAAAGGTACCAGATGTTCCACGTTTAGAAACAGACCTGACAGTGCTGCTCTCTGCAGAGACACTCCTGATAATACCGAAGGTGGTCAGAGGGTTTTAACAAGACGTTTATGTTCATGCAGTGACTGCCTCCTTGCCCATTTGGCTCTTTTCCCCAGCTAACAGAAGCCCAAATTTTGTCCTGACGTTAGGCAGAGTGTGCAGCCTGCAGAGCATGGTGTCTCACTGTTGTTGTTGTTATTTAATTGCTTAGTTGTGTCTGGCTCTTTTGTGACCCCATGGACTGTAGCTTGCCAGGCTCCTGTGTTCATGGGACTTCCCAGGCAAGAATACTGGAGTGGGTTGCCATTTCCTTCTCCAGGGATCTTCTCAGTCCAGGGATCGAATCTGCATCTCCTGCATTGGCAGGTGGATTCTTTACCACTGGGGTGCCTCACCAGTCTAGGCCAACTGTGATCATTACAGTCCTCTTTGCCAGTTATTAATTCAGGGATGGCCATGTGATTTATTTCTGGTAGATGAGCCCTAAGGAAACCTAAGGAAAGTTTTCTGAGGA